CGAGTGCCACTTCCCACTAACTACTACCATAGCACGTAGACTCGAATGGGACGTTATGGGCAAGGCAATCATGAACCGCTAGGAGGTGCAACTATGGTCGAAGACCACACTCTCAATTGCCAAACCAAGGGATACATTATAGGCTACTAGAGTAGCCCTCCTGATTAAGGCAATCGAGGGCTGCCTTACCTTCTCCCTCAAACCGATGGTTGGACGGCTTAATCACGATTAACCTAGTCGATTAATTCAAGATAGAGGTTTTCCCTACATTAGTCTAGGTAGGTGGCTTGAAAAGCCCAAGGAATCCCAACTCAATTGAGCCTCTTTTGGAAAAGGGGGGTTTCCCCTCTAACCTAGGTTAGAATGGCCAATTAGATTGTTAAGCACAAACATGCACAATCATCATGAAAAATACCTTAATCATTAAATTAAACAACACCCATAAACAATCATTCAATTCACACTACAACTACATTGCAAATACTTAGGGTTTCACAACACCCAAGTGAAAAAGGTAACTACTCCATGCTAGAAAGGGGAAGAACATAGAAGAAAGAAGTAGAAACCATCATGGTGATGCCTCCACTCTCCTTTGATCTTCTCTTGAGGAGATTCTTCCCAATTCACCACTTGGAGCAAACACTAGCCTCCTTTCTCCTTTGGTTCGTCCTTTCTCTCTCTAAAATATGAAGAAGAAGGTGATTTCTCCCTCTTAGACTCCCCCTCTCCCTTTCTTTCAGATCACGTATTATACTGGGATCGAGCTCAGTTCACGACCTCAGTTCACGTCCATGAACTATCTTCAACGCGTGAGTGAAATTGGAGTGTTGTGTCGAAATGCACCACTTCACTCACTTGAGTTCACGGTTTGCACTCAAAGTTCACGGTCTTAGTGACCGTGAACTCACTCGGCGTCAATAACTTCAGAATTCTCCCCAAACGCTTCGCGGTTCACGGTTTATGGCTTCAGTTCACGACCATAGGAGACCGTGAACTTCAATGGGAAACCGTGAACATGGCCTGAATCACCCTCTTTGCCTGGTCTTTGCTCCTTTCCTTCCAACTTTCGATTCGGGGCTGGTTTCACCTGTTAGATCCTGAAACACACTGAAACATACAAAACCTAGTGATAGACCGTTAATTACACATGTTTTTACCCCTGTTCTTACACCGTTTAAGGTGTTGATTCTCGTGTTTTAGGCCGATTTCACGCTAGGTTGTGCTTGTTTGTGATATTTCAGGTCCTAGTACGTGAATGGAGGCTTGGGAGCGAGTTTGGGGTCGATTGGACGAAGATCTGACGCGTGGCGAGGTGCTAAGGAAGCTGCACGGGCATTCCTGGACATCACACGGCCGTGCAACTCACATTTGTGGCCGTGTGGTTTTCGTCGAGAGCAAGCACGGGCAGGATGGAAGTCCCGCACGGCCGTGTGACCTTGGCCGTGTGGGAAGCCTAAGATCGAACTAATTGGAACGCAGCGTTTTGACTCGCACGGGCAACTGGGTGAGCCACACGGCCGTGTGGCCAGCCCGTGCGAGTCGGGAAATCTTGGTTTTTCAGCCAATTTCGAGCCACAAGTGAGGGAGTCGGACTTTTTGAGCAAAAACAGAGCCCTAGAGAGAGAAAAGTACGAAGAACACATCCTAGAAGCTATCTTGGAGCTGGGTTTCATCGAATCGAGCTTGGAGATCGTCCTAGGAGTGAAAATCATCATCCTGGAGTAGATTTTCCTCATCTTTATGAGTATGACTACTCCGATTACTGTTTTCCTCTCTCTCTCTATGGAGTAGAACCCCTCTCTCACTTGGGGATGAAGAACCCTAGTTCTATGTGGTAGGGATTGATTGTAATGACTTGGGATGATATTACTGTTTGATTTTAATCGAATGATGCATGTTTATTGAGTCAATTGAAGTCTGATCAACTTTTCCTGATTCCTGCTGCAATCTGAGATAGACAGAATCTGATTAGGTTGCTAGAGTCTCATCATTCGGTAGTAGGAGATTGGCTATACGAGAGTTAGCCAGTTTACTGCTTTGTACTGGAATCCAATTCCAGTAGTGGAGTTCTGTTCTTACTGCTTCAGCTTTCTATCCCGGTGAAGACTAGTCGTCTGCCGGGTAGTTAGACTGAGAGCTTAAGAGATTCCAAGCTACTGTCGGATCTTCCGCAGTCTAATAAACAGTAAATCAACCCAGGGTAATTGCAATTGAACCTAACTAAGGAGCTAGGGGGACTCATTCCCGAGTGACTCTTTCCTGCTTGAGAAAACCGAATAATTTCCTGCTTTCTTGCTGCTTTTAGTTTAAACACAAATCACTCGACTTAGTTGGTTAAATAATAAATAATCACGGAGTAAGCAGTAGATCTAGACCCCGGGTTGATAATAGAACTTGCCTGTTACTGCATTCCCGGACTGCGATTACACTTGGTCGCAGTTTGGTGTTGTGTTTTAGAGCATCACCTAGCGTAAAACCACCCTTTTAGGAGTTCAAATGCCACAAACGCCCAAGGCAAACTGGGATAAAATGTGTGCAATTAGGCCTGAATCACTCCCCCACACTTAGACGTTTGCTTGTCCCCAAGCAAATCATTTCACACGAGGTAATATCTCAACTCATCAAAATGCTTTGGGGACAAATCAAAGGGAACTAAGTGGCGAATCTCAAATGACTATTGGCAATTAACACAAGGACTGTTGTAAGCAATATCGACATCCACCACAATCGACATCTGAGGTTACTAGAAACGGGAAAATGAAAAGTTCTCACCTTGTTCATGAATCAATGCAAGTTTCAACAAGATCACTTACAAACCACAACTAACCATGCATAGAGTTCAAGTCCAAGGGACAAACGGATGGGCAACAAAGGTCCTCACCGGGGTATGATATGACATGCAAAACAAGAATGAATCACTCACTCTCTTGACCAGTGGGGTCGGGACCTTTCGATGCAAAGAATGTGTACAATCATCAACACTCGGCCCTATCGTCTCAACACCACGGCGGCAACCTCTAAATGTTAGAGTTCACGCAATGGTTTTCATCACTATCTTGTCCGAAGGTCTTAGACACGGGTTCAAATGACTGGAGATTGTCTTGGACATGGGGAAAAAGGCTTTTTGGGTGGTGGCAAACACATCATGAGGTCCTACATCTTCACCCTAAAACCAAAGGTTCTATGTTTTTTACTAAGAACATTCCTTACATACAACGGCCACTAGCATCGACCAAAAACCTTGCTTCTCCCTTCCAAACTATCAACTATCATTAACTTCTCTTAAGCGCTCTTCCTCGGTCTACTCTTGCTTTCACATTTTGATTTGGTAGTGAAGGATTTCCATGACAATGTGGAGGTTTCAATGGCTTGTGTGCCAAGAAACCTCCCCTAGAGCATACTCTTGGATTCCTTGTGGCACTCTCTACTTTATTTACCCTGTTTTATTACCTCTTTTTCGTTTCTATTTCTTTTTCTTTTCTTTTTGAGGGGGGTACTAGACATTTAAACATTTGCCACGCTACTTTTAACGATCAATGCTCTCTTTTTAAGAACTCACTACAACACTACTCTTCCTTTCACTTTTGTTCCTAGCAAGAACCGCACAAAATCCTCCTATGTAGAGCCTCAATGAAACTCAAAAGTGAGAGCTCCGAGATACAAGGACGACACACGTGTAGACACGAAGAAAGGATGGGGGGTTGTTTTATCAACGCCATTAAGCTCACAAGCAAAAAGTTCCTAACATGAGAACGACCCCCAAAGTCACAAGGCTCAAAGGGGTTGACTAGTGGATAAATTATTTCGAGACAATGAACATTTGGGCGTGGACTAATCCTATGACTCCATCATACTCACTAGTGACAACTATGATGTTACTCGCCATGGTAAGAGCGATCTAAGCACACAAGAAGAAATTGATCGGCTCAAAGCTCACATGGCTACCTATTCACCCAACCATATATTTCAATTCACAAAGCAACATGCATGGAAATTGTAATCAACAAGTAATCGAGTCAAAACATCCATTCATTTTTGCACACGTGATAACTAAACCTTTGCACTATCCTAATGCACCTCTCAGTCATCATACGACATACTCGATCACATGCAACAATTCAAGATCAATGCCAATAACCACAAGATTCTCCTACAAACCTACCACTTTGATCATGCAAACATTGGTTGGAGCCCTCAAATTTTTCAAATTTGGGAATATATCAAGGCTCCAAGCATCAATCACACTCACACAAGCATAAGAACAGAATACCCCCCACACTTAAGCTCGACATTGCCCTTAATGACGTAAGATATGGGTAGAATGACATTACCGCTTTGCTTGGTGAGTGAAAGTTGGAATTGTTTCTGAGGTAGGAGATTTGGATCTTCAAGTAGAAGACAAAAAAACACATACACAAACACAATACGACTCACTCAAGGCGAGGTTATTACACAGCACAATACGATAGTAGTAGTAGTTTATAGTCACACACACACATAAACGAAAGAAAACAAAACAAAAGAGTTCATAGTTCCAAGTGGAGTAGTGGGGCGAAAGGAATCGGCTCTGCCACATATCTCCCTCGTCGGCTAACTCTCACTAGGTCGAAGGCCGCGGCTCATCATCGGGAATGAGACCCTGGCATCGAGCCATCTACTCAAGGAGGTCGGTCTCTCGATCGAGCCGGAAGTCACTCTCCCAAACTAGGTCTCGAGGCGATCCATCCTCTGAACGAGGGGATCACCGGCTTGTCTGGATGATGAAGCTGCTACTGGTGGTAGTATAGGGAGCTGGAGCGCGGGACGCCAGCAGCAGCCAGGTACTCGAGCAGGTGGCTGCTCTGGGGGTGGAATCCCTGCATCTGGCTCCACTAGAGTCGGGTTAACTGCTAGGTCCATAGCTGCCGAAGGTCAGAACCCGTCGAGGTACGCAAGCCCCTCTCCTGAAGTACCAGCTGCTGGTTATAAAGCGTGGCCACTGGGAAGGGCTCGGTCCTCCCCATGATGGAGCATCTCTCCACATTTACTCCGAAGTGGCGGGCAATCCTTGTTATGATGCCCCCCACGTGCATGGTGTCCATCCTATTCCGCCCCAGACATCGGGCGAAAGAGGTGGCTACCAGCGATCCCAGATGGATCGACTTTGGAGGATGCCTCAGGGAGAAGAGAGCCAGAAGCCCTCTGTTCATCATCAGATGTCCCTACTGCAGGTTGGGGACGACCGATCGGGTGAGCAAATTGTGGAGAATCCTCCAGGGAGTCCTCAGCTTCACCGCATTGGTGCGGCTCGCCTCGTACTTGTGCTCAGGACGGCAGAGGGCCCGGAATGCGGCTTGATAATGGAAGTCAACGGTAACCTGCCACTCTGTCATCGTCATATGAGTCGGGTCAAGCCCCATGGCCTAGGCGAAAGCGCCATAGGTCAACACTTGGGGCTGACCTCCCAACATGAACCCCACGTACAGCCGGCTCCTCTTGCCAGTCGGGACCACATGGGCGAACATGGAGTAGAACTCCACGCACAACTCGTGCTAGATGTGCTCGTCCATGGTGAGCAACAGGCGCCACTGGGGGTGACAGACGAACCCCGACATTGCAGCTCGGCACCTAAATTGTTAAACATGTCCAGATCCAGCCGCCAGTGTGGCCTGACCGGGCTATCCCTATGGTAGGCGAACTTGTCGCCAAACCTCGCATGGTTCACCAGATAATTGATGAACCCGTGCTCCACGTTAAGCATCATGCAAAATTTGGCAAATAAACACCACATGTGGAAACATTCGTTAAGCACAACTCATCGGGAGGAAAAAGAAATTCCCCACACACTATTCTCTGCTATGCATTTCAAATATTTAAGCTCAACACACTGTGGTATGGTTGTGGGTAATTCACGGTTCATCTACACAAAAGATTTGAACCCCAACCCATGCCACGGTGGCTACCAACCACCATTTAAGCATAACAATGCATATTCATTCAAAAATTAGAACTTGGTGGGCAAAATCTACAAATGCAAGTAATTCGAATCAACAAATGCCCACCAAGGCTCACTAGACTCATGCAAAGTCAATCATCCATTCAATCATCCTAATTCACCTAATTCCTCGCCCTAATTCTAAATTCAACATTCAAGGCACTAAAATTCTCCTCACTTCACTACCTAATCCGATTCTCCCAAAAATAAATAAGGTAGAGCTGGAAAACAAACTTGGAGGCACACGTAGGACGTAGGAGGAAGGTGAAAAACAGCCTCAAAACAGTCTGGAGAAGGGTCACCGGAGCTTCTTCGGAAACTTGTTGGACTCTCGTTGGAGGCTCACCTATGGCGACTTCGCCGAATATTCTTTTTGCCCCAAATCTCCCCAATATCCAAGCGAAGGTCACCCTTTATGAGGCAAGAATGGGTCTGAGGTTTGTTTTGGGGTTTGCTCGCCGGAAGGGGGTAAAAATGCATGAAAACCGTAGGAGAATTGCGACGAGATTTGAATTTTCCGACAATTTTGGGTCGTGAAGTGAAGGATCAACGTTCACACCCCTTTTTATAGACGACGTTGGCAGTTCACAGACGCGTTTGCCAGTTCACCGTCGTTAAGACCGTGAACACATCAATGCGGCCATAAACTGTGGCTAGTCGACAACCGGCCGTGAACCTCAGCTAAAACATGACACTTCTGAAAAAAAGTTGACTCGACCTAATCCACCGTGCCTTCTATCGATCACGACACAACCTCAAAACGGAAAACCAAAAAACTTGGCACGGGGATACCACTTGATCACTAGAACTCTTCACTCGACACTCCAAAATTGAAAATAAGGAAAAGAAAACAAACCTACGTTGGGTTGCCTCCCAACAAGCGCTAAGTTAACGTCACTAGCTTGACGTTGCGAATCTATCATGCTTTGGAAAATGATGCCACCGAGAGTGGATCCGCCACGTTCTCGTGGCGAGGCATGTAGCCTCCCAACCTAAGCTCCACGAGGTGGCCTTCTTGGCCGACGACCTTAGGTTTGCCCTTCTCCTTCCTTCAGGCCAAAGCTTGCTTCATCTTTCCTTCCAAGCTTTCTTCTTCCTTTCTTTGGGCATAGTACCCTCCTTAACTTCCTGCTTAACATCATCACAAGCAACACAAGTAATAGTGGGGTTCGCCTTGAGAGGCTCTCCTCCACTCTCATTCAAGTCATCCGATACCAAATCCTTCACATCCTCATTTCTAGCCTTAGATTCAATTTCAAGAGTGATCCTCTCCTCACCATCCCTCAGAATCAAGGTCCCCCCATTAACATCAATTAACGCCTTGGCGGTGGCAAGAAAGGGATGTCCTAGTATGAGTGGCATATCCGAGTCCTCGCTTATATCAAGGATCACAAAATCCGTCGGATAGCAAAACTTGCCCACTCGTACTAACATGTCCTCCATTATGCCCCCAGGATCAATGAGCGAGCGGTCGGCTAATGTGATACTAAGCTTAATGGTCTTGAGTTCACCTAGGTCTAGCCATTTGAAAAGCTTATAGGGAATCACATTGACACTTGCTCCTAAATCCGCCAAGGAATTTTCTATGTGATGGTTACCAATACTAAGAGGGATAGTGAAGCTACCTGGATCGGTTCGCTTCTTGGGCAACCGATTGAGGATGAAGGCCGAGCACTCCTCGCCTAGTGACTTGCTCCTACAGTCACTCTAGAAAATGGCCAAGTGTAACCACCTCCTAAAGCGTAGTATAGCGGGTTTGGGTTTTAATGTCACCCGGGTCCTAAGTGTGATGACTACTCCGTGAGTTCTTATTATTTAACGATGACAGTGTAGTGAAGGTCCAAACAAGCAAAGCAGTTAAAGGTTGTTTTCAAGCTGAGATAGGTCACCCAGATATGGTTCACCCTAGATTGCAGTTAAGCCGGATTGTAATTTACCAAGTTCAATGATGCGGAACGGAATTTCACGCACCGGTGATCTCGAGCGATTTAACGAAAGAACTAGAAAACACGATAAAAGAGCTACTTTTCTCTACTAACTACTAATACTTTATTGATAGACTTCATAAAACGAAGAGCAAAGGTACATATTTATAGGGCAAGTCCCACAAACCCCTTTCCTCTTAAGACAAGGAAACCCAAACCCAAAGCAACAAGTAAACGAATACTTCCTAAACAAGATACATAATAATAATCCTAGACCCAAACTAATACGAATAACCCAAATAATAACCGAATATCCCACCAAATAATAATAATAAAACAATAATAATAATAATAATAATAATAATAATAATGGGCTCGGCCCAAGACGCCGTCACCCATCAATCCTCCCCCCTTTTTACAACTTCGTCCTTGAAGTTGCCTTCCGCTTCCGCTCCTTCTTCCTCTGCCTTGAAGTCGCCGATCATGACAAAAACGTTAGCGTAGGCGCAGCGATGCCCATACGTGAATCTCTCGTCGCAGTTATAGCACAGTCCGTTGTGACGACGCCTAGCAGCTTCTTCTGGTGACAGGTTGCGGATGATGCAGCATGGCGGAGGTGGTGGAGCTCGCCCTGTTGTTGGCGCAATTGGCGGAGCAACTGGTGGTGCATCTGGAGCAGGTGGCGGTGGCGCCCAAGTCGCGTCGGCGGTAGCAGTCCGTGGTGCAGTCCTCGTTGATCCCTTCTCCAAGCGCAACTCTTCCTCGCGTATCTTAGCCAATCGATATGCTTCGCCAGTGGTTTGCGGATTAAAAGCTCGGATATAGGCAGATATTTCCGGCTTCAATCCTCCCATGTAGGACCCCACGATCGCAACTTCAGTCCAACCGCGACAACGATTCAGCAACTTCTCGAAGGTATGTTGATATTCGTCAACAGAACCAGCTTGACGAATCTAGGCCAACGCCTCATGTCCAGACGACTTCTCCGATAACCCATACCTTTTCCATAACTCGGTGCACAGACTACTCCAAGTCATCATCACCCCGTACTTCGCGAATTCTTCCTCAAGCCACATGATCCACTGGTTCACGTCACCATCCATGTGATAAGTAGCCAACGCCACCTTCAGCTCCTCTGGAATGCACTGGTAACGGAAGTACTTCTCAACACGCGAGATCCACCCAAATGGATCTTCCTTGCTAGTGAACTTCGGAAATTCGAGCGGTGCGATCCTGGTTCGAAACATTGCTTGACCTTGCTCCTCGAATTGACCCATGGGTTGGATCAACCCAGTCGGTCCACCCGAATACGGCCCGTCCGGCACGTGAACTTGGGGTCGGCCCACAGCGGGTCCGCACCAGCTCTGCTGACCCGGCCCGAGCAGTGGGCTGGGCTCGGTCCCGCTTGCCCCTGCAGCCCATGGCCCGCTTGGCTCAGCTCCCTGCGCTCCTGGCCCACTCGGCGGCCACTGATGGCGCGGTCCATTCCCCGGAAGACCCGGACCGTAAGCGCTCGACCCCGCCGGTCCATAGGGCGCGTTTGCGTCCCCGGCCCACTGCTCCGCTCGCTCCGGCCCGCCTGTGATCACGCTTGGCCCAGACGGCCGGTCTCCAGCTCGGCCTCCCTCGGTTGCTCTTGGGCCAACCCCGTAGAGCAAGGCACCAGTCAGGCCACCCATGTTGGGCCCTAGCCCACGAAATACTCCTCCGCGGTTGGTGGGCTCCGGAGTCGGCCTCATCGGTGGCCTCCCCCCTTGCGCGACGACCTGCTCCTCCTCGCCACCGACGGCGAGATTCCCCCAGCCAGCTCCGACGGGAATCCCGCGACCGATCCCTCCACTGCGCCCCACGCTCTCGACAGGTGCTCCATTCATCACTCCCGGTTTCATTCCCGGCGTCAGTGTCGAGCTCCGCTCGTGGAAGAGTGAAACCCCTCGTCCACGGCGACTGCCTTCAGCTTCTCTGCAGCCGTGATCTGGTCGATGGTGTGACCTTTTCCCCCAGAGACGAGGTCGAGCTCCTTCAACGACTCGGCCTCCTTCTTCTCCCAAGGCGGATCGCGGAGGATTGCGAGGATCGCGGAGGAACGGAATTTCACACACCGGTGATCTCGAGCGATTTAACGAAAGAACTAGAAAGCACGATAAAAGAGCTACTTTTCTCTACTAACTACAAATACTTTATTGATCGACTTCATAAATGAAGAGCAAAGGTACATATTTATAGGACAAGTCCCACAAACCCCTTTCCTCTTAAGATAAGGAAACCCAAACCCAAAGCAACAAGTAAACGAATACTTCCTAAAAAAGATACATAATAATAATCCTAGACCCAAACTAATACGAATAACCCAAATAATAACTGAATATCCCACCAAATCATAATAATAAAACAACAACAACAATAATAATAATAATAATAATAATAATAATAATAATAATATTGGGCTCGGCCCAAGACGTCGTCACCCATCATTCAATTTCAATGATAGTTATAATGCGCGAGGTTCTTAAACAGTCTGCAGTCTCGACTAAAGGTCTTCAGACCCTCTCAATCTGAGTCCCCAGCGGGCGACTAACCTTCACCGGAGTAAACAGATTGAGGCCCTAACAAACCAAACCTCCACTACTGAAGTAAATCCGGTACAGAATAGTGAATTGACTTCTCGACTAAAGTCGTCAATTCACTACCTTCAATCAAGGGTGCTCTATCAACCTAGACAGATATTCTCTTTCTAGGTTAAAGCTAGGGGTGGGAGTTCAGTTTCGGGTTTTCGGTTTAAACCGAACCCAAACCGACAAGGGGTCAGTTACTTTTCGGGTTTTCCGGTTCCGACCCGAAAGGTGCTGTAACGGTTTCGGTGATCATAATTAGATTAATAATTACCTAGATTAATTGATCATAATACTTGCTAATCCCATGCATATAGACGCCGGCTAAGGTAACAAGTCTTTTGGTCAACCTATGAAGTTTACAACGTGGCACATCATAAGTGCTTTAGCATCGATTTTCGGTTTCAGTTTAACCAAACCGAATCCGATAAGGAAATCTTTGGGTTTTGGTACCCGAAACCTGAAACTTCTCATATCGGGTTCGGATTCGATTTGTAAACAAAGTGGGTTTCGGCTTTTCGGGTTTGGTTGGTTTCGGTTCGGTTACCCGAACCCGAACCGATTCGGCAGCCCTAGTTAAAGCAGAAACAACAGGAATTTGATCAGGATTCATGCCATTCAACAAATCAAACCTCAATTGAATATAATCATATCACTGAATTCGTACTTGAGTTCATACAATCAAACCTAACATACAAATCTAGGGTTCTTCTTACCCAGGTGAATAAGAAAGTTACTCCATAGAGAGATGGGAAATCTAGCTCAGATGCGGAAACCATACTGTGAAGATGAGATTCTGCTTCTGGCACTCAATCAACTCTTCTCCAAGCTCAAGCCGAGCTCCAATGGTGATGGAGATCGATCTAAGGCAGTTGAAGAATCAGGTTCGTCACTTTCTCTCTCTAGGGATACACTTTTTCTCTCTAAAACTCGGTTCCCTTCCCCTATGGCTTGAATTTGGGTTAAAACCCAGAAATTCCCGACCACACGGACAAGCCACACGGCCGTGTGGCTTTCCAGTCTGCCCGTGTGGATGTTAAAACGCGGCGTTTCGATTAGTGGGCTTTCAGGCATGCTGCACGGCCAGGGCCACACGACCGTGTGGATTTCCAGGCTGCCCGTGTGAGCTCCCTGGACTTTCCACACGGACACAAGGGGTCTCCTACATGGCCAGTGTGGCTTGCCAGTGCAATGTGGTGCCACACGGTCAAGTCACACGGGTGTGTAGGATTTTTAGGCCTGCCCGTGTGAGTTCCTCAACTTCTCGCCAAATGTCCAATCTTCGTCCAATCGACCACGAACTCGGACTTGAAATATCACAAACAAGAACAATCTAGCGTGAAATCAGCCTAAAACACGAGAATTAAGACTCAAACGGTACAAGAATGGTGGACAAAAACATGTGTATATATCAAGTCATCAAATTCCCTCACACTTAACCATTTGCTTGTCCCCAAGCAAATCTAACTCAAACCAATGCAACTCTCCAGAACTCTATATCAACAAACAACCCCGATCGTCGGTAGAGGATTTCCTAGATCATATAGCAGCTTACGAGGTCAACTAGTCTTCTAAGACGTTCCCTATCTCTCTTAATGCGAGTACTAGACTCAAGCCAGGATCATGAGAAGAAGTGGAAGTAAGACAGTCAGTTCATTGATAAAGGGACTCACACCATTCACAACCAAGGACTCATTGTACCGTGGTGCTCTTTCACTTCATTTCACCGTTGGAACCCCTTTTTTCACTTTCATTTACATTTCTTTCTCTTTTTTTTTTCTTTTTTGTTTTTTCATTTGGCGGGGGTTCCAACTGCAGTCTTTTGCACGACCAACCCTTATTAGTCGAGCAAGAGCAATTTCTGTACATCTGGCGCTTGCCAGAGTACTTCTTTTAACTCCTTTTCCTCAACTCGTGTGGAGGGTCAATGAAATTAAGG